CAACACATCATCCTCTGAATTCTCTTATCCATATACCCTCTCATCCTTCAAATCTTCTACAACATCCTGTGGAAAGAGTTCAATTTCCTGTGAGTATTTATGACATCATGCTTCCCAACTTTCCTTCTTCCAGAGCACAGAGTTTTTCTTTTAAGCTCCTTGTCAACCTTGACTTGAAACATGCATTTTTGTTTGAGTACCTGCCTTGCTAAGTATAATACGTTTGGTGAAGGTGCTCATAAATTAAAAGTGATCTCTTTCTCTCTCCTCAGAAACATTTGAATTCCTCAATCAAATGATTTTTTTTTTACGTACAAAATTGATGTATGTGTAGGGGTTGCGGGGGGGTGAAAACAGCCAACAGCAGGACTTCAGCAATGACCAGCACCTTGCTCCACCCGGGTCCAAAACGCAACTCACTCAGAAAGCTTCCCCGGGGCCGTGGCCGCACTCTAAGCCGGAAAACTCGACGATTGATCGGTCAGCAATTTTGGCCGAACAATCGTCACTTTTTCGGACTGAAGACGACCACGAGCGGACATTCTTTCCGCTGAATTCGATGTAAGGACAAGTCACATCATGCAATCCTCAGCATTTGCACAGGTGTAATGCCCGCGCGACCCACTTTCAGCCTGCCTCTGGCTTGCCGTTCGTCGCCCGAGCATACCACCCACGACGCAGCGAAGCTTTCCACCGAGGTTGGTTGGAGGGTGTTTGATGGGGTTTCCAGAATCTTTCGCTCAAAGATCCTGGAAACCACCACATACCTTCTGCTTTTTTTGAAAACTAAAAAAAAATCGAGAAAAAAAAATGACTATAACCCGGGGAAAAGCTCCATCATTGCAGGAAGAGACAGGTCCTTACATCGTAACGGTAAGGTTAGTTGATTTTTGGGCTGAGTTTCTGCCGGGCGGATTTTATTTATAGATTTTTTTTGTTATTTCACTTATTTCCTAAATATTATTAATTATGCCTTTTTTTCTATTATTATTATTTTTTTTTTTTTTTTTTTTTTTTTTTTTTTTTACATGAGACACTTTACAATCGATTGTGAAATGAAACTGTTCTTTGACTATCCGCAACTTGAGAGTGGTCTCCCCAGTCTGTAGGTTCAGGCGCGTTTCTGGCGTCTGCGGTCGAAGTCCGTATTGGGTGGTTGGGTAGGCAGTGCGTAGACATTTCCTTGTGACAGCAAGTCTCAGCGTACAGTGGTGTGGATCCGGTCTTTGGTGAGCAGGGCTACGTCAGAGCTGTTGAAGAAGAGCATCCCATGAATTGATGAAAAAAAGGATGAGAGATGCCCTATGGCTCTGGAAGTTGACAGGTATCGCAAGGTGTTGTACTTCACGATGTTGTCCTATGACCTTGAAAATCGGTGCGTCTATGGTTGGTATGAGACGGATGGCCGGTGGGAAGGACGATGGAAGCATTTTGCGATGATCCTTGTAGTGGTGCCGCTGCATTGTCCAGTCTGGATGGCTGGCATTAGTTTCGTAGACCAGGATGTAGACGTTGGTACACTCGCGGAGGCGACTGTAGGGGGTGGTAGTTGTCAGTGGTTGTCCAATAAGCGACCGCTGTTATCCTTGTGTGATGTGAACACTGAGAAGTCATTAGTGCACTGCCTGCTTTGGCCCTCAGGAGATCTTCTGCTCGCGCCATACGCACGTCTGTTCCCTTGACTAGCTCGATCACTCGGATAAAACATGAAACAAGATAAGAAGTTGGTATTAGAAGAGAGTAAAAATGTGCGGAGAATGTTGTAATTACTTAGATATGAACAGGTAGGATTAGAGTATCCGTTACTGGTTGTAGTGTCTCATGATATAAAACATGATATAGTACAATATGAATCACAATAAAAACTGGAATTTACTGGGAGTAAGGTAAAAGAGGACACGACAGAAGAATTCTAAAGTCAGAAAAGTAAATTACCCGTTCTAAAATTATATGAGCATAGCGAAGGAATAATTTTAATAATTAAATAATAATAATTAAATAATAATAAAATTTAATAATAATAATTAAGGGAATAATTTTTTTTTTTTTTAATAATTTCATAAGTAATTATTAAACAGATCAAAGATAAAAGATAAGAAAAAGTGGTAAAAAAAATTAAATCAGTGAAATAATCAGTGAGAAATTGTTCGAGAATATTTGAAATTTGATTTAATCATGGTTGAGGAAAAAAAACAAAACAAATATTTCAAATATTCTATAATTTTGATATTGATATTCTATTGATATATCTATATTGGGGGCGTTCCACCATCTGAAGTTATTTGCCAAGTATTGGCTTGGAGCCTTCAGAAGCTCAGAAAAAAAAATTTAGTTGGTAGAGCATTGGCGGTAAATTTAGTTAAGTTCAGAGGTTTCTACATTTACTCTAGTTCTTAGAGCTCTGTGTAGTTGCACGGCAACAAAACACAGGGCCATTCCAACCACTATTACGAAAATGGGAAGTCCATGGATATGGATTTCAGAGTATGACCAGGCGTCGCCCTCCCTGGCCTGGACTACACTTTGTAGGACCTCGCTGAGTCTTACATTTGTTTCTCCGGAAAGCAGGCTCTGATTAATTCTATTAATCAGATCTTGGTTTCCGGATATTGTGGAAAGCATTTTGTTCTCTGCGTGGTTGAACAGCGAGTCATTGGAAATTAGCGGAATTAGCGCGTCGGTCAACTGCAATTCCGCACTCATTTGGCCTTGTACGGATGGTTGCAGCACATGGTATTCGGATGCAACCCTGCACTTCTTGGCTCCCTGGATTAACCCAATTGATGTGAGAGTGCGGAATTCCAGCCGACCTTCACAATTAATTGCTACTTTGGTAGGTTTATCGACGGAGAAAAGCCATTGTTCTCCAACTTTTATGAAGTATTCAGAAAAATTGGGGACCAAGGACTTTTCGCAGTTTAAAGCAGAGTGGGATGTGAAGAGATTATATTCGCAAATTTTATTGTTTGGGGTTATTAAAGGAATTGCGTTCTTGCAGAGTATGAAGGAAGTTGTAGGTTGACAGGATGACAGGAATTGCTCTGAGATAGGTGTAAAAATATGCATAAGTTTATCCATCAAGACGTAGTTTTTAGTGGAAAACGTAGCGAATTGCCGGATTTTTTCAATGTACCATGGGACCGAAAAAATTTTGTATAAGGAGAAATCATTTTCGAATTGTTTCGTTGGAATGCGGACGGTCACCCTCAGAGTGTTTAGGAGGATAACTGTCTCGCATTCGCTGGTTAGGAAAAAGAGGGGGAGAGTTTCGGAGGTGACTTCCGACAGTAATTGGAGGGTCTTTGGTAAGTTCTTCTCGATTTTTTTTAAGATTTCAGAAAATAGAGATTCTTTAATAAGATTCGGCGTGAGCTTGTGCTCAAGAGCACTCTGCAGACCCTGTTTTAAAATTTGCCGCTCATTTTTAATTTTCTGGATAAGAAAAGTTATTGTTCTGAGTTTACTCTCCAAGTTGACTACGTTTCGTATTTCTGTCATTTGTTTGGTGGTTTCATTATACAAAGTGACCAACGAGTTTGTTTTATTAAATAAGTTAGAAGCAAGTTCGCCTAATAGTTTTGTATTATTCACTTGGTTTTCCAAGATGTTGTGGATAATAGTTTTTTGGGCGGTTGTCTCTAGTTTGATGTCCGACGTTCTCTCTCTTAGTTTCTCAATGTGCTCGGTGATCAATTTGCTATCGTCTGCGTCCATCAAACCTGTAATTCCAGAAATCGCCTTACCGAGCCCGTCAAACCAGCCTCGTTTGGTGCGCTCGAGCCTGTTGTGAGGAAGCATATCAAAAATTTGCTGCGTTTCAACTACGCAGGCGGATAATTCGTAGTGCAGCGCATGAAGTGCTGACACGAACGCAGCGTTTACCGTTTCCGTGTTGTTCTGCATGGCGTTAAGATGTTTCTCCAAAACGCTGAAGTTTTCCTCGAGGTCAACATCCTGTTTGTGGATTGCCGCGAGGTTGAAATCGGCGTTAATCGTGTAAGTGCTGGATGTGCACACGACCGGCTGCGTTTTTTGAAAAATAATCCCACTGTTCAGTGGGGTAATAGAAATGTTTGCTAACGTAAGCACAGGCAACAAAAGTAAAAAGAACATCTGGAACAAAATATGCAGTGTGAGAAAATGATGAAGTACGGAGAAATGGTGAGGTGCGGATGAAAATAAGAAAACATCCAACGATCAGGGGAACAACAATGGGCGGTAAGGTAAAAGAAAAAAAAAATATTTAGGCCAAGGGAAATTGGCGTAACTCGCAATTAAAGAAAGAACTCTATACATAAAATATACTATAGAGGACTTGTATTTAAATTTGATAGATGAAAATGTATTTTAGGGTTATTCAGGTGGGTACGTTAGAATTTTATGACACGTTTTGGTTTAACGTCTCAGTGGGGCGTTGATAAAACGGTTTTAAGCGATCCGTTTGTAACAGTACCGTTTTACCGTTTTCCCCATCCACCTTGACTTCGTAAATGGAATCATTGATCCGCCCTGTAATCTCACCTATTTTGGTCCATTTTTTACGAAATTTCTCGCAAATCCCAGGTTTTCTCGAGGGATCTAAGATCAGTACCCTCGCCCCTGGAACATATTCCACGTTTCTATGAGATTTTTCGAAGTTAGACCTTTGCTTGCTTTGCTCCTTACTAATTTCCTGTAAAGCTAACTTTCGGGCCGTTTCCAGCAAATTTAAATGAGTGCCATAATCTCGTGATTCCTCCGAATCTTCTATGATCGCTAGATCTATATTTAATGTACTCTTTCGTCCGAAAAGTATTTCATACGGGGAAATTTTTGTCGTTGCCTGGGGACAGCTGTTATAGGCAAGGCATATTCCGGGTATAAGTTCGCACCAATTTGGAGGGTTATTAGCCTCTGTGTAGCATTGAATTGCTTGTTGGATGGTCCGGAAACCCCGTTCTACGAGACCTCCTGATTTATGACTATGGGCCAAATTGAAATTTGGAACTACCCCCAATTTGATTGTGAGTTCATTAATCAAATGTGAGCGGAAGGCAGATCCATTGTCCATACGAATCTCATGTGGAATACCCATACGGCAAATGTACTGGTATATTACCTCCGCGATAGATACAGCATCTATTGATTTGGTAGGCGTGGCCCATAAGTATTTTGAAAAATAATCGGTTAAAGAAACGCAATGTTTAAAACCATTCCTGGAAACATTAAATGGGCCGCTGGTATCCAAACCCAACACTTTCAACGGAATTCCTTCTACTTCAATGGATTTCATTCCGCCCACCTTTTTCCCTGAAAAAATTTTATTCTTTTGACATGCTGTACAAAATTTTACATAATCTGCGCAAACACTCTGTATATTAGGAACGTAATATTTTTCAGAAATATGCATAATTAGCTTTTTCTTACCCACGTGAGCTCGGTCGTCGTGATATTCTTTCAGCACGGATTCCACAAGTGATTTAGGTAGAACCACCCGTCTCTCCGCTCCGTTAGGAGTGAAAATTCGCTTAAATAGGACGTTGCCTTTCTTCTCGAATTGACGTGCCATTCTTTCTATCTTTTTCTCGACTTCCTCCCCGTTTATAGCTTTGAGAATGGAGACACAAAATTCGTCGGACGATTGTGCTCTTTCGATAAGAGATTGTTCCTCTGAGGAGTGTATCATCGAGTTAATTACAAGAATTTCCTGTTCGTCCTCCGAGATTTCGTCCTCGACACCCAAAGTATCCCTAGTTATATTCCGAGATAAGAAATCCGCAAGTGCATTCATCTTTCCGCGTATGAAATGAATTTTGAATGAATACTGAGAAATATTTACTGCTAATTTAGTCAATCGAAGGTTAGCATTTTGCACTTTAGTAAAGAATTTCAATGCAGTATTGTCAGAAAAGATTGTTACTTGTGCAAGTAACAATATTCATGCCAGTTTTGGAGACATGCGTACACGGCAAATAGTTCTTGCTCTGTACTGTGCCATCTAGATTGTGTAGGTGTCAGTAATTTTGACATGTAGGACACTGGTCTTAAGTATCCATGTTCGTCCTCCTGTAAAAGCGCGCCTCCGCAGCCGATAATCGAACAATCGCTGACAATGAAAACTTCTCGGGATTCATCAAAATTAACCAGCACTGGTTCAGTTGACAAAATACGCTTAATTTCATTGAATGACTGTTGGCACTCGTAAGTCCATTTGATAGCTGACTGATTATTTTTTGTTAAATCAATAATAGGCCTTAACAGGGAGGCGAGATCAGGTATGAATTGGCGCACAAAATTGACAGCTCCTATCAAAGAGCGGCACTGACGGACCGTTTTTGGAATAGGAAGTTGAATTATTGCCTCAATCCTCTTAGGGTCGTTTTTAAACCCTTCTTTTCCCACGGAGAAGCCAAATAGCGTCATTTGCTGATACCCAAATTTACATTTACTTGGTCCTAAAACAAAATCTTTCTCTTCGAGCCGAGTCAGAACTAAATCGAGGCTTTCAACGTAAGTCGACCAGTCCCTACCAAAAGCGATTATATTGTCAATGTAAACCAGTGCTCTAGTAAATCTATGTTCACCCAGGACATTGTCCATCCGCTCCTGAAATTCGCCTGGAAGAGTGCATATACCAAAAGAGGCGCAAACATATCTGAACCCACCGAAAAAAGTTTGGAATGCCGAGCAATCTTTAGATTCCTCAGTGATAGGACACTGCCAATAAGCCTTATGGAGGTCAATTTCACAGAAAATTTTTTGTGTTTTAACCGAGTCAAGTATGTCTGAAATGCGCGGTAAGACAAATTTTTTTGGCTTAAATTTCCGGTTTAAGTCCGTATAATCGTGGCAGAGGCGGAACTTATTATCTTTATTTTTCGCCACAACTATAGGTGAAGAGTAGGGTGAACTAGAGGGCTCGATAGCGCCAATACCCAGCATCATATTCACCTCCGAAAAAATAAAATCTTTAACCACTGGTGCCGTTCGCCTTAATTTTTTAAAAATCGGCGTGGAATCAGACAATTCATAGTGAATTTTAGGGATTTTAGCCATGCCCGCACGAAATTTAGATGGCTGGAATAAGAACAACTTTTCGTGTTTATTTAGAATAATCTGGATTTCCTGCTTCTGTCCTTCGCTCAGCTCTGGATTAATATCAAAAGTATGAGGAAGTTCCGCAGGAATTTCAACATTATCAAGGGCAGCGTTTGCGCTCTCTACTGAACTTATTTCCGGTGAGTGGGGGGGAGGGTTCCAAAAATTGTCTGATTCCCACGCGCGTTCAGACGGGCCGGCGTCAAGTGACTCGTCGTTGCAGTGCGCAAGCACATTGAGTGAAAATGCTGAGTCAAGTGACTCACACGGCTGTGTTTGTACCACAGGTTGGCGCGTGTTAGAGTTGCTATGACCTAGCACAATCTTACTCACTATTGTCTCGGGTAAAAATGATGCGAGTCCGTGCGCCAGAATAGTGGGCATTCCAATAAGAATTTTGCTCGGTAATCTACTCACAACTTGGGCTTTAACCATGATAATTTTTCCCGTGGGTAGTTCCAAATGTAAAAAGGTTGTGCCTAAAACGTTAATCCCGGAACCGTCCGCGTTCACGAGGTTACGGTTTCCCTCATGCTCAATTTCGTAGTCGTCTACTAAACTTTTTTCACATAACGAGGTACTAGCCCCCGTGTCGAGAACAATAACGCATGATTTTCCATTTACCTTACCCGTTACTTTCAAGCATCCACGTTGCAGTTCCGCATTTTCAACCGCTTCTGAAGGTTGGCTTAAATTATTAACTATTTTCATATTAGTAGGCTGGGTAGCAAATTCGGAGTCAGCACAAACATGACCCACTGAGCGCTCAGGGTTTTCATTGTTTGCGCCGCTTAAAATGTGCTTTGTTAAACGATTTATAATTTTACCGCGCCCTGACTCACTTAAAACTCCCTTGTCTTGGTCCCAATCCCTTTCTTTGAATGAGTTTAAGGGTTCAAAATGTACAGAAGCGCAATTTTTCAGCTTATATGCTAATACATCTTGTAAGTCGCCTACTTTCGAATTCCAATTATGATTTTTATTACCTGTCGGGACTGTTGACACAATTACCTTTGTTCCGTTTTGTATTTGATTTAAAACATCTACCTTAACCGTATCAAAAATTTCGTTAACATTAGTATTTACATCTTTTAGTCCCCCTAAAATATACAATAAGTCTCCGATGGAGTTTGATCGATGCAAGGTTTCGACCTCGCAGAATAATTCAGCTAAAGTTTTGCATGGGAAAGGAAATATCTCAATGGAAAAATTTTCCGAGCCAATCGTGTGAAACAGGTCACCTTTCAAACCTTTACCGAGAGCATCGGTAACCAGCGTTATCCTGAATTTATCGCATGCGTCATTTTCCTCGATCCCCGTATCGATTTCCGTGAAATCGAATCCTTCTAATTCTAGATTTATGTTTTTCTCTCGCTCAACAGTATTGTCTATCAACACCTCCTCGCCTGTGCGACGTACATTGTTTGTCATGATTACTTCACCCGAGGCCATGTCCCTCCCTGTATATATGATAGGTCGGGACGCACCTAGTTTTTTGGACCAGATTTTGGGGATTCCTGGCGCCAGTTATTCTCCAAGGGACAATCATTTCGGAAATGACCAAAATTCCTACACAGATAGCATTGAACGTTCTCAAGGGACATTGGCTTACTTTTATTTCCCTGTTCCTTCCCCGTTTTTAACGACAACAGGGTGTCTAACTTTGAATTCACCTCCTGACCCAAGTCTCTAAGGTTTGACTTAAGCTCCTGACTCACGCTCTCAAGTCTACTCATGTCACTTTTCACTTCTCTCATTTGATTCTCCAGAGTTGCCAAACGGTCCTTAATATTCCCAAGATCGTTGGGTTGCGCAGAGGGGACCGCCGGGGCTCCCGAAAAGCGGGTGCCGTCGCCATTATGATAATTACTTGTGCGCGGGAATTGATTTCGCCTCTGAAACTCAATTTTTTGGATAAACTCAGGATCGTTCTCAAAGTTTACACCATACTCTAAGGTATTAATCGGTTGCGCTTGCGAAAGCGCCGAGCTCGAGATCGTTGCGGTGCGTACATCCGCCTCAAAGTCCTGCAACGTTTTAGGTTTCATTACCTGCACAAACGCATTTATATGGGGCAAGAGACCTTCAGTTAATAATCCTATCTGATCCTTTACTGGAAGCTCAACTTTTGAACGACGCAAGAGTTCGAGCTTGTCCCTAACATAGGAAAGCGCCCTTTCGTTGGGCAGTTGGACTCGCCGACAAAACGCAGAGAAATCCCCGCCTACGGTTTCCTCAGTGAAACATTTAATAAACTTTCGTTTAACATCATTCCACGAATCACAGGCTGCATATTCAATTTTGTTATTGTTGAATGCTTTCAAGGCTTCTCCTCGCAAACAGCACTTAAACACCTTAATGAGTAATTTATCGTCATAACCGTTAACATCCCCATAATTCTCATAATTTTCGATAAAATCCGTAACCTTCTCGTCCCGCTTACCAGAAAATTCCGGCAGGGGAATTTTCGGTAAATGTGGGCGGCTGGGTGTAACCGTTGGATCCACAAGCGCCATTTTGTAACGGGGGGTCTTGAGATTTATTAACTCCTGTTCCTCAAGGGTAAAATTATTCCAGCCGTCCGTAAAATCCTCCTTCGAAGGACTGGGAAGAGGACTCAAAGTCGAATTCTCTAACTTGTGAGATTTTCCCGGAGTCACTACTCGATGAGAGTTAACGGGAGACGAGGGAGTCGCGGATTGCCCAGGGACCGACGCTCTATTAAGTTCCGCTAAACGCGCCCGTGCGGCATCTAAGTTCGGAAAATTATATACGACGTTGTACTTCGCGAGCTCCTCGTGCACCGCAAGGGTGTTTAATTTAAACACATTTTTGATTCTACCAACCGAATCATACTCAACAGGGGTAGCCTCTACTATGTCGATCTCCAACGAAGTGCTCTCTGCCACGGGCTCTTCCACCAAAGTATGCACCAGGTCCCTCAAAGTTTTAGGAGAAATCCTCCGAACTAACTTTGCGTAGGTTAGTAAGTCGACGGAAGAACCACGTGAGAAATACTTCGGGAACTCGAGCTTCAACACACCATTCAAGTCCTTCGGCTGAACTTTTATGGACTTCTCCTTCCCGATTTTTATTTTAAAGTAAGGGTTAGCCCCACCCCACATAAAGGCTATTAGGGAAGAGTATGACCCAGTTGGAGAGAAAAAAAACTTCACAACAATGGAGAAAAAACGTGGAGAAAAAAAAAAAACTTCACAAAACCGACGCACTCATAAAAATCATGAATAAATCATAACTAAAACCATAATCATAATCATAAACATAAATTTCATAAATAAATCACTCAAAAAAAAACAAAAAAAAAAAAATCAAAATACGAACCAACAAAGAAACTCAAGAAATTAACCTAACATCACATAAATAAAACATAACGTAAGAAAAATCAAAATTTATAATCCCAATCACACATAGTAAATAACTCAACAAACATCAATCATATCCTCAACCATCAATCCTACCATCAACTCTCAAACGTCTACTCGTCAAACGTCTACTCAATCCTCGAACTCGTCGACCCGACAAACTCACACAACCAACCAATCAAATCAGCCAAAATTCACACATCCAATCAAATCAACCAATCAAAATTATAATCAAATCACTCAAAAAGAAAGAGAGAAAAAAAAATGGATACCTCTGAACTACACTCAGGCCGACCACTGGCCTCCACCATGTAGGGGTTGCGGGGGGGGGGGGGGGGAAAA